CCCCATCCTGTAAAAATAATCACCACTGCTACAGAAACTTCAAGTTTGTAGCTTGAAACCCTATGCTCCACTGGGAACGTGAAGGAAAAAACAGGCTTAACTCTAATATGCATAACCTTCAATAGTTGGTTTGTAAGGATTAGATTTGTTTTGACGAGTTGATCACGGATTGATATCAGTTAGAGAACCATTGAAAACCAGGGAGTACTGCCAGACAGCTGCTGTTTCATCTTAGTTTGGTAATCATTGGCAGTATGTGCTAAATCACGAATCGGTAGATGTCAGAATTCATATGCCATTGAATCGGGTCCCAGTGAGTGGCTGAATGGGATACAAGCTTGCCTTGAAACCGGTAGGTCCTGGGTTCGAAACCAGGTAGTGGGTCCGTACTTCCGATAATTCCCAAACTAGGATGAAACGGCTGTCTGGTAGTACTCCCTGGTTTTCAATGGTTCTATCAATGATATCAATCCGTGATCAATTCATCAATACATAACTTTACAAATAAATATTCATACATAAACCACTCATGGTGATTTGTCAATAGGGTAATAAGATTGTGCACTTAGTCATAAAACATTAAAAATGATTCTATCAATAACAAAGATGGAAAAGTGGAACGATCTGTGATGGCAAGAATAATCAAAAAGAGTATGATTTAACGAATGTTCAGATAGAAGTAGTCGACAAAAGCTAATAAGAAAACAAATGCCCCGATCAAATTATGCTAGACTGTAAGAGAAGTAAACAAACTACGTTTTAATAAAGATGTGATAAGATTAGGGGATGATGAGAGAAGGATTGGAAGTATCAGTAAGGGGTGGCAGTGACATCATCAGTTGGTTAGGGGTTCATAGACCAAGGGAAGGACATTGGTTGTACGAACTTCTTTTGGATGTATAGTTTAGACTTAATAGTCCGAATGCCTATCATATCAGCTATATGTAGTAGATGAATACGTAGTCCATTGGAAAGATTCGGCGGGATGCGATGAATCATCTTGCACGGTTTCGTTTTTCCCACTGGATGATTGCTATCAACAGAATGTGACAAAACCGAGCTACGGATGATTTTTGTCTGTCCTTTGCCAAACCACGATGGGAGATGTTCAGTAGCACGTTGGTTATTCTGTCTAGTACTATGCCCAACATATCTGTCACCAAAGGAGCAGTTGAACCACTAAATACACATAGATGTGGCAAAACTGTCTAGTTTATCCTTCGTTTGAGTGCCAATCATTCGTCAGCTATAGAATGACAAACCTAGGTTTACTGCTTAAAACGTTCTACGCATATTTCTGGAAAGTCTCTGGAACAAAATCTCACTTGACAAGTTCCCGCTAAATTGTAGCTTAAAAAGTACAAGTTCCTTCCATGCTGTCATAGTTTCAGTTTTTCTATCCAATATTTTTATTTGTTTTTTTATTAAAACTATTGGGATAACCCATCTCCATCAAGGAATCATAAATATATCCGAATTCCTATGGTAAGTAATCATCTGTAGATATCTTTGTTGCTCTGGAAATGTTTAGAATTTTCACATTCCCCCAATCAGACTGGTATCCACATACTGTACTGGTGTGAAGGAATATATGTAGTTTTTATTGACATATAGTTCTTTTATTGACTTCAACGCCGAAAGGAAGTCCGTTTAGACCAATATAATGTTTTACACGGTTGATGCGGGATATTTTGCAAATACTGATATTCTGGCAGTAGTGAATGTTTGTATGTCAGTGTACATATCAAGATAAAATAGATTTACTTTTAGAAAGGAATAAAACTTGGTGAATACTGACACAAATGTAATACCTTTTATCTGAAAGGTATTAGCTTAATCTTAAGAAAGACAGTGGACAACCATCTTGAAGGTAGGGCAATTTTAACTCAATCTCATTTACTACCCCTTTTAGAAGGTCGACCTGGTTTGGTGTTTTTTCCTCTAAGAATAATCTTGATCTTAGTTGTTTATTTTTGTATTCCTTTACGTTCCCAGTGGAGCATAGGGCTTCAAGCTAAAGACTTGAAGTTTCTGTAGCAGTGATGATTATTTTTACAGGATGGGGTTGCTAGCCTCATGCCCAACCTTTCCTCATTACTAGTCTTAGTACTGGCTTAGCGAGGTAAAGGAGTGAGTCGGTGGGCACTCTGCCGCTGTGTCACCGACGCACTTGGTCTTAGTACTTTAGGAATAAAGACGGTACATAAATTGACATCAATATATTGAGGAAAACAAAATATTTAGACATACTGAACGTTTCAAAAATAATTGCGAGCTATGAAACTTCAGAAAAACAAATATACTATAAGAATTTCCCGTACATTTTATACTGCGAAGGGCACTAAAAGCCATTGGTAGGGCGAGTGTGGTGTTGCTAAACCAATTCATTAATGCTATTGTAAATCGACACTTGGATTCCTGCAAGAAATTAACAAATATTATCCTGTCAGACTCTGAACATCCTCTCTCTCTCTCTATTCACAACTCTCTCCTTGTGTCTCATCAGGCAGAACTAGAAGTAACTATATAAGACTGTATACTTGGACGACTTAGTACAAAAACACTACAATACCTTATTTAGGACACATTTTGTGATGAGAAAAGTGTAAGACAGAAAATTACCAGTTTACTGAAGAAATCTATATAAACGGGATTTTTTAATTCCTATTGTTACATTGTCGCTAATATTTTCACTTGATTTAATTTTATATTCGATCTACAGGAAACCGACATGGATTGGTCAGTTAACTAATTTTCATAGTTGGGTCTCTTTGAGAAGGAGGATATGTCCCAGTGATACAATCCACAGGAGACTAGAGCGACTCAGACAAGTCCTCATAGAGAATGGATAGCCCCCAAGATTTATCAAGAAAAACATGAAGTTAAGGGAAAAGCCTGAAAGAACCCAGACGTTGCCGAAGAAACTGCTATTTGTGAGTGTTGAATTTAAACGTGATACCGCAGCTGAGATCCTGAAGAATCGCTTATGCATATCACTGAGGAAAGCCTTCTTCACGGCTGAGCTACGTATCAATTTCTACAGTCGACAAATGATCAATGGATGTGTGAAGGATGAACTGCCGCTTTGAGCCACCTCAATGTGTGTTTATAAATTCACCTGCTCGTATGGAGCTAGTTATATTGGCTACCCGCACAAAGCGCACACTTTCGAAAAGCATCTCTGAACATTATCCGGCATGGGTAGCAAAAGGACAATGCAAGACAATTACCAGCTCAATTCTCGAACACTTAGTGAACTCAGGCCACGTAGCTCCATCAGAGTCATCTTTAGAGATCATCTACAAAGTGAAGCCAAATGATACTAAGGGCGTCAGGTTTCGGCTTTTGTGCATGGCAGAGTTGCTGGCGATTCGTCAATACAACCCCGAACTCTGTATGCAGTAATAGTTTATCCAGTCTCTTATTCTACCTTGGTCTTAACCTCTTCACTAATCGTTCCCTATAAAACATTTTTCTTTTTCTTTTGTTTTTAATTTTTACTTTTACTTTTAGTTTGCTTTAATAATTAATTCACTATTATCACTGTCATATGCTCCATCTGTACATTTCACACCCTCTTCACACTTGTTAAATTGACACTCAGATAACTTTATTCTCACCCAAGAGCAATTTTAACCTTATCAAATTTCTATCTTTGTGTCATTGAGTACTACGTAATTTATAACTTTTAATTTTCACTTCTAAAGCCACTTCTGAGTAATTATATCAATTACGTCACCCCCTATTACTCAATAATAGACCACTATATATTTTTGTAAGTATAAATACGACTGTACGGCAACCTCTGAAGATGATTTCGTTGATAAAAAAAATTTTCTTCCCTGAATTTGTCTTTTATTTTATTCGTTTCTTATTGAACAATGTAACCAATATAAATTATTATTATTATTAATGTAAATGCCCTACTTTAATTATTGCGCAAATCATGAGAAAATTAGATGCAGCATTGTATTACATGCTGATAATTCTATATATCTACCAAAAGTGCTGTTTGGAAAAAAGCTATTATCATTACTACTATTACTAACTAACTAACATTAATTTTGATAAAAAGAAAGAAAATGTGATAGCTGTTCACTACTTGCAGATGGATATCATGAACGAGTTAGTGAAATTCAGTCAGTCAATGGAATTACTGAAATTCATTTGATAGCGTTATGATGATTTCATTCTTGATTTGTATAGAATGACAAGTTAACAACTTGTGCTTTTCAATCATCCATAATTGATTGCGCTTTTTACAGAAAGCTAAAGAATGTACACGTCGATCTTCGTTGCTGTTTGTCTTGGCTGTCTTAAGCTATCAGAGGAGGCACGTGGATGCGATCAATCCTCTTTACAACACACCAGATAAATACATTAGCGTATAACTTATAATTCATTGTCATATATTCGTAAATTAAATAAGCCTAACTTATAAGGTCTTGTTTCACCTCATAGTGTGTGTGTGTGTGCACGTGTGTGTTTCCATGTGGGTTTGCATGTCTTACCTTATCGAACATATATAAACAAATAAAAAAAGGAAAAATAAAACCAATTCTGACCAATTCTTTTTCAGACATAATACTATGTGCATACTGTGTAGAAATAAAACTTTATCTGTAAAGTTTATGTGGGTGTTTATGTGTGTGTGTGTGTGTGACACTTTAATGCTAGAGTAACTAAGATACTAGTGAAGTTGACACACACTAACAATATCGAATGAAATGCATATTATGCTTTACAACATCTATTGAAGCCGTATATGTTTAGAATAAATATGCGAAATTAATCTGAGAGAAATAAACAAAATTAACAATTTGCTGGAGACTATGCATCGCTGATGATTTCAAAGCAGTGAGACTTATGATCAGATCAGTTTCCTTTCACAACTAGAATATACGCCTTCTATTAAATGCTTAACTCATCCGGACTAACATTTCGATATAACTTCAACGCTTAATTTAACAACAAGTGATTAGAAAATAATAATTTAAAAAATGCCTAATCTAAAATGGAGATTATTTACTATGGGTAAACTATCAAGCTTCAATAATATGCGAATTAAACAACGCTATACAATACATCCATCATTGACATTAAACAATTTGACAGCTTCTTGTTCAAGGGCATCAATGAAATTTAAAGATTACATGATCAGTAATTTTAAGAGAACATCGCTTAAACAGGTAATACAATCAATGAAGAATATTTCAATACAAAGTAAACACTTTAAGACTTACCATTATTCAGTTAAGCGGCAATTTAAAGATGAATCTGATTTATGCAATTACAAAACATCTACTACGTATACAGCATTAGAGACAACATCAGTAGAAGTACCATTTAATAAAGATGTAAGAAAAACTACGCGATTATGGATACGCTTACAGATTCTATGAGTTTACCATATGCTACAGTGTCTGGTATGATTCAAAATCGATATAAGAAACTGAAAGACAACTCTGCTTCATTCTGTTCAGAAAATGGCGCTATAATTAATATGGAAAAATCAAAAGCAGTGTTCGGAAGAGTTGAAAATTTTCCTCTTGGAATAAGGTAAGTCTGGGGGCCTACTTTCGAATCCTCTTATCTTTACTACATGTGTGTATGATGTGATTTACGGATGTAATTAAATAATTTTTAAAAAGCAACCACAACAACACGTAGTGGAATAAAATAAGATGCATTTTGATGGATGGGAAATTCGAGAGCCTAGTGATTTAAGCAGTTCTTCGTGTAAACGACATCAAGCTTTGGTTTATCACTAACATTTCCTTCTTCATTACTGACAGGAATATTTATTATACCTTAGGTGGAGTTGTATGCATGGATAGGTTTGAAAGTGTATCATTCATTCTATGCAATGAGGAATATTACAGACAACTTTTTCAGGCATTACCATGCAATAAAGTGCAGTAGTAGAAGTCTGATGATGATGAGAATATTCGGCCAAGTGAGTAAGTTAACCTACACAATACTAATGGCGAAATATATTTCCCAGTGTTAAACATAACTCTTCAGTTCAACGATGTGTATTATTGTTGTAGCCCTTCCCCCCCCTTTCCCATCTGTAAGATTATCTGAGGTTGTCTGGGAACAGCAGGTCGATATTGGCGTGAAAAGTGAAGATGGAATGAAAAGGTTTATCGCCGTAAAACTTCGAATGAAGAATCTTTAGAATAAAAGCCTACAATACACTTCAGTTTAAGTGGCTTCTAATGATTAACAGAGTAATTCTTGGTTATTTTAAAAATAACATTTCACTAACTTAGTGAAAATCTTAGCGGTCCGAATGCATGAAATAACACGTAGTCACATAAGAGGTTACGGCAGGGCTACACTTTTAAAAAGAAATGTAGTTAGATGAAGGTTGGTAGTTGGATCACTGAAATGTTTTGTTCTTCAAATCTCCACTAAACTCATGCAGTAGGAATGACGCAACACCAATGCCGGAGATGGTGGAAATATTACTGCCAACAAAATCAAAGGATGAGAAATAATAGGGCTATATAAATAAAATCTGGAATTTATGTGAGCATTCTGATACGAACTAAAGCTTATAATAAAACAATGAAACCCAACATAATCAACTGATCACTGTTTACAATCATCATATTCTACTTTATTAGTTAAAAGAAAGAATACTGATGTTAAATAGATTCAATCTACTCTAAATACCATGAAATGCATGATAGTAGCTTATGCTTGGATAAGGAACTTATTCTGCCGAATATATATTTATATATCTGTCCGGTACTCCCAGCTGGTTTCGCAATGGTTGTCTAACCGATGTCAGCTCATGATGAAATCCTGTAACCAAACAATCAAATGCCTATAAGCCAATATTTGAAAATATATCAATATGTTAGTGTTTAAATTACTCTTACTGTAACCTCAACTGATTACTGTTTATTATAAGGTTGCAGATACGCTTTGCTGATGAGTGCTAACTAGCACGAAACCTTGGTCCAAAGTTCCCTGCCGACTACCTCCAACCATCTATTTTCATTAGAAAGATAGATTCTATTAAGCAGAGATTTTATATATACTGGATAGCTGTTTCGTCCTAGTTTGGGACTCCTCAGTAGTACGCACCCACCGGGGTTCGAACCCAGGATCTTCTGGTTACAAACTAGGATGAAACAATTGTCCAATACTCCCAGGTTTTCCATTGGTTCTCTAAGTGATGTCAGCTCATGATTAAATCCTCCATGCAATCAAACAAAATCCCTACAAAACCAATACTTGAAAATTATTTATATACTTTACAATTCAGTGAGATAATGGATGAAAAGACCGATAGAAGAAGAAAAACCTGGTTTCCAATTGAATTCAGATCAATGAAGCTGACCAAGAAGCAGATTCACTTTATTGTGCAATACTCCTGGTTATGACTCATTTGAAAATATCAGTTAATTAACTGTCTAACAAAATATGATCACGTATTTTTTAAGATTGTTACTGAGGCATTTTCGGTGTTTCGACCCTCTTAAAAACTAGTTAATTTGCTCAATGATATGACACCACAATTTCACCTATGCTTTCCTAATACGAAATTAACGATTACTGATTGATGATCCAATAGCCTTGTTATGGCTTTCCTTCTCCTAGTCTGATGCAAAGTAAATCTGAAACAACGCTTCACTTCCAAATTGAAAACGATCTATGAAGGAAGTTATACAGAGAACCAGAACTAATTATGCTTTTGTTTCAAGGTGTAACTTCAAGTCTTTATAATCGTAAAACTGATTGGTCATTTTAACTGATTTCTTCGTGTCACTATCATATACCCTTGATCATAGTTAAAGGTTTTGATCAGGGCGTTGACTGAATACATCGCTGTAAATGCATAAACTGATTAGGGAATCATGAGTATTCTTACATATTCAAGTAGTAGAGAAAATTGGAGTGAATAATTCATTTCAGAACTGTTTAAAGAAGGGCACTACACTAGACAACTTCTATAGCAATCCATGTCTCCACCTTCTTCTTATATCCCTTCTAAAAGTGTCTTTTCTTTTGAAAACTAAACGTGAGAGCAGGCCAAACCAGCATAATACTGAGTAAACATTTTCACCTCAAGAAACGTTTTGGTTATTTAGTGAATAAACTATTTTACTCATTAGAATAATAAGTGTATCACGCCATCACCTAATCACAGTCAGAAAAAATCTCGACATATAGTCTTCACCACACACCAAATGAACCTGTGGTTTTCTACTTAGATGGATAGCTCTCAACTAGTTGTGGATATCGGCCATTTAATGGATCTCGGCAGTCAAAAAGCTTCACATTCCCTCATCATCATAGATGTGTTAATAGACTTAACCCTAAGTGACTTCAGCGACTCAGGGATTGACTTACTACCGGGGAATAATCTCGTTGACTTGGAATATGCAGACGATATAGTCCTTCTAGGCGAAGACGCTGACGAAATGCAGAGTCTTCTAAACACCTTGAGCCGCAATCTACGAATGTTTGGCATGCGATTCGCTCCCGCCAAATGCAAGATGATGTTACAGGACTGGACTACATCGACTCCTAGTTTAAAAATAGGAAGTGAAGTGGTAGAGCACGTTGACCGCTTCACTTATTTGGGAAGTACCATCAGCCCCAACGGGCTGATCTCTGACGAAATCTCAGCACGAATACGAGGGGCTCCTTTCGCATTTGTTAGTTTACGCCGACTCTGGCGTAGACGAGATGTTCGACTATCGACCAAAGGGCGGGTGTACTGCTCATCAGTCCGCTCCGTCCTCCTTTATGGTTGTGAGACCTGGCCACTCAGAGTGGAAGCCATGAAAAGACTAGCTGTCTTTGATCATAGGTGCCTGCGCTCTATTTCCCGTGTGAAGTGGCATAATAAGGTGAGCAATATTGAGGTTAGGCATCGAGTTCTAGGTAAACAGGGGAAATCAATCGACGAAGTCGTGAAGCTACAAAGACTGATATGGTTAGGACATGTGTTACGTATGCTAAGCCATCGCCTCCCTCGAGGAGCAATGTTAGCGGATATAGGGTCAGGCTGGAAAAAAGCTAGCGGCGGTCAAACAAAAACTTGGCCTCACCAGTCAATGAAATCCACAACAGTTGGTCTAAGCCACGTAGGAAGGTGTAGACTTCCAGGCTGGGGTCCTCGAGACGGTAAAAATCTATGGTTGGAAACAATTGGTGACATGGCTCAAAACCGTTCTCAGTGGCGCAGATGCATCCACTCCCTGTGACTTATGATCTCCAATGAGACTGTTTTGTTTTTCTTTATTACTCCTTTGTCTCACACCTCTACTCACTGTTTCTATTATGCTTTTCTTGTACTTTCTTCTCTTGCTTCGCGTGCTACACGGAGTGTGGCGACTTGAACTTCCGCACATTTGTGCAAAAATCTATGTCGAAAACAGACAGACAGACATTCCCTCACACACTATAAGAGTTTGCGTTATTTCTACCTGTTGTGTATATTATTATTATTCCCTTGGGTTCCGAGTAAAACATACGGTCTCAACAACACATCACTTCGTTCTATTTTATGCCGTCCTCTTCAGCTGGCTGACTCCACGATTGACCATGATCTCTTATTTCCTCCTCGCCAAACGATTTCCGCCATATCACCCTCGTACTGATGACCCACTCATCGCTTCGTATTAGGATTCCAATCGAGCGATGGCCTGAATTGTGCACGATGTCACTCGACGGCCTCCTCTTCCACCTCCATTTTCTCCTACATATTTGTTGAACATTCGGCTCTTGGTTAATTTGTTGCCGGAGTTCCTTGTAGACGAAGTACATATAGTTGATGAGTTCCTACTCATTATTATCTTTCCCCTTTATATTTTATTTTATTTACGATGAAGACATTGGCTCACACGTTAATAAGATGCTTAACATAAATAATCTCATTTGAGCTACCTCATATATATATGTGTCATATTAGAATGATAAATCTTTAAAGTTGACATTCATTTTCAAATCAATTCATCGAAATTCTCTCAAGGTCAAACGATGCCTGTAGTATACCAGCTTAACCTTAAAAATATGAAGTGGATTCGATTTAAATTGCGAGAAGAAAAGATTTCAACATCATACAGTTAATAATTGATTCTTAGTCTATATAAAATGTTAGAATTTATTGAACATGAGCTTCATTAACTCTTTATCTTGTCATGCTAAACAATGGAGATGTCATAGTGTGCATCCAGCTTTCATTTGTTATTTTTAATAAAACGATTAATCGTCTCCTTTCGACATTTTCGTTACATTATGTATAAGTGAACTCGTGTTAAATTATTAACTATCTTGTATTCATATCTCTTGTTCTACAACTATTTTCTTTAAGTTGAAATAATTCTTGAAGCATCTTATGAATTTTCTGCATTTATAATAACATATGTCATATATATGGCTGATAGCAGTTGATGGAAAGCTGTGAAATAAGAAATAATATGATCCCTTTTTATCCCGTAAATACATTCATTCTCTACTTATTCAAACTAGCCAAGGGAACTAGTTATATGAAAGTCTATACAGATGTTGGTGGTTTGTTATTTGGATGTAGAACT